ACCATAGCCCTCGCCTCCCCTTGCATCAGTCCACCACTGATGCTGGTAGATCTGAAGACTTGGGTCAAATGTTGCGTAGATGTTTCAGCTCGTTTTGGTACTCTCAGTGCAGTCCTTGATGCAGGCTTGTGAGAGTGGGACGCCTGCAGTGCAAACTGCCGCTCTTCAGGAATTCAAGTAATTCGAAGAAAACAGTAAAAAACTGAAAATTTCTTTTCAGCTGCCACATATGCCTCATATAAGTGAATGCCTGATGAAGAGAAGTTTAAAACCCACTGATCTAAGAGACATGACTATCGGGCAGCTACAAGTGATAGTCAATGATCTCCACTCACAGATAGAAAGTAAGTGGTACTTGTTTAATTATTCTTTGGTATGTCCCATTTTAATTAAGAACAGTTCTCCAGGATACACATAGAAATGTTGATAAAGGTATAATAACACGAATATATGGAAGAGGCACACTGCAGAAGCTGGAGATGGAGTTCTTTCCAGATTTGGCTGCTTCAGCCTTTTTCTTTCCTTTTTTCAGTTTCTCCTAAAGTGCTCTCTTGGCTCCGTAAGAGAGGAGGGTTGTAGCATTGTGTCAGCACCTAACGCCCCACTTGTAACTCAAAACCTGGTCGGGTAAAAATAGTCTTGGGAAATCTGCCTGTCCTGGAAGCGCCTACTATTGGTGGCTTTATGGCTGCATCTTCATGTGACGCTATGCCATGGCATCAAAACCATCCGTAAGTGGAGAAGCCCTCCAGTTTAGCAAACATCGTGGGGTAAATCCACTCTTGCAGTGCTTCAGTGCATTTCATGGGTCGTTGCATTCGCCCACAGGGACAGTGCCCCACCAACTCAACTGTCTTTGCTCTCTCCCGAAGATCCAGGGTTTTTTTCCCCCTCAAGGGATCTCCATCTTCCAATTAATTAATTAATTAACAGTTTTGGGAGTAGACTTCTCTGGTGGCTGTAGGTCAAAAAAAAGGTTGGTTGGGAGCTGCTGTGCTGCTCCTCCCCTACTCGCATTGGTTAATTGGCATCCCTTCCGGAAGCAGCCCTGCTGAGAATGCAGAGCTGCGCCATTGAGTCATGATTTGTTATTTTGTGCTACAAAGGCCAAAAAAAAAAAAAAATGCTCATTAATTAGCCTCACGTTAGAAAGCACCCAAGTACACCGAGCTTGCTTCCCAAACTGAAGAGGCATTAAACCAGTATAGCTGTATTTAAGCAGTCTGAACACCAGCTCTGGCAGTGAATGATGGGCAGGTACAGCCTTCAGGGTAGCCCGTGCCGGCAGGTAAATTTTTCACATGGTCCTTTTTGTTTTCTTCTTCTTCCCTGCTCTTTGACACAACCCCAAGCAAGAATCCAATGTCACAAACATCCCTTTTGAGCAGAGGGGCTGGCTTGGACGGTAATCCCAAACCAGGACAGGTGGGCAGCATGTTCTGTATTGCCGCAGGGAATTAAAAAGCTAAACCTTAGGCTGCCTGGCCGAGCGGCTCAGCTGCTTTCTGCAGCGTGTTTCTTGCTCAGGTTTATTGCCCACATGTGAGCAAAACCTGAACCGGTGGGACTCCAAGCACTGAGAAATTCATCTTTATTTTTGCTGCTGCATTAAGGTATTTCAAGAGAGGAATTGCTTGCATGCAGTGGCAAGGGGCTTACGGTTTATCTTAGAAAACATGCATCCTTTGGGGAAGTCCCTCCTGGTTCTCTGCACCACCTTATGTGTAATGCGGTGGGGAAGGATGATGTACAGGTCCCAAACCGGGGTTCCCCGGGACATCACAAACTCACCCCCTTTCTCCCTGGCACCAGGCTTGAACGAGGAGCTGGTGCAGCTGCTGCTCATTCGGGACGAGCTGCACACGGAGCAGGATGCCATGCTGGTGGACATCGAGGACCTGACCAGGTGAAGGAGGCTCCTCGGGGTATTTCTGTCTCCTCGCAGGTCCCAGCTCACCGTCAGCAGCACGTAGGGGTTTTCTTTTAGCAGAATTTCAGTAGGAAAGCCTTTGCCATCAAAGGTAGGTAGAAGGTAACGCTGCTGGCTGCAAGGCACGTGTTTCTCTGCCAAGTGCTGTGTGTCAAGAGGGGAGCAGGGCTGAGCGGGACGCTGCTTTCTCCTCCAAAACAAGAAATCAAGGCACTTGGGTTCTGGAGACAGTCAGTGGCTTTCAAGAGCTCCCCAAACGCAGGTGTTGGTGCATGCTCTTGAATTGGTGTTTCCCTTTCGGAAGCCTGAAAAGAGCCTGGGAAGGAGCAATGCTGCAAACCCCCAGTACATCCAAGGCAAATCCAAGCAGCTCCCCGTGTCACCCCACCCCTCTCACTGGGGTAAGCTACAGCCAATGAGCCTCCGCCCTCAGGAGGACTTGACCGACAGGAGAATTTCTGAGTCTCTTAAGTATTAATGTTCAATAGCCAATAAAATAGAAAGCCTTGCAGAATACAGGTGGGTTTCCTAAAGGACTCCATCTCCCAGTCGGCAAGGCTTAAGAGGCATTTTCCTTTGAGATAGTGTTTCTGCAGCGCATCACTAGTTAAGAAGCATTGAAAGCATTGGGGAAAAAAAGCTGAAAAAGGTGATACTGGTTATTGTCAGTGCACGAGGACTGCGGTTTCAGAACTGAAGCATTAAGCTTGCAAAAAATACGGCCTAAATTTGTTTCTATTTTAAAACATCGTGGTGCTGCATAGCAGCTGGTTGAGATTTGACAGTGCTCTGCCTGGAAAAAGTTTCTGCCAGCTGGGGTGGCCATGAGGGATTTGGGGAGCAGTTCTTGTGCTGCCTGTAGGGATGGCAGCCCTGGGGACAAGCAGGCAGGTTGTCACTTCTGAGTCTTGAAAGGCACCGTCACCGCTTCCCTTAACGAAGAGCAAGTGATGAAAGGGGGGGATTTGGGATGGGGGTGGAGCTGGGTCAGTAGACAAACACCAACGCCACCTTGCAACTCTTTCTCCTTCTGTGCTTCAGGAAATGCTTTGCTTCCTAGATGCAATTAACGGCAGCTTAGTAAATGAAATTATTTGGAAGGCTGGTCAGGATGGTGGGGGCTTTGGTGCATGTTGGGAGGCACCGGCTCTGCCCATGCCGGCACTGGTTCAGGGGTGAACGCGCCGGCCATCCCTGCAAGAAGGGAGGAAACGATCCCAGCTGACCCAAAACCGCTCTGGAGAAGGGTTTCCTCTCCCCTTTGCCCACCTCCTGGTCCCCTCCCGCCAGGAAGGAGCCTGGGCAGAGACCGCACATCCGTCACTTGGTGCTTGTTTTTTCCTTGGGAAAATGTTACTTTTGGGTTGCTGCCAGAGCGGCACAGATGCTGGCTTGGAGCACAGTCCTGCGTGTAGTTTGGGTTTCCACCTCCCCTCGGCGCAGTGCATAATGCAGCTTCTTTCCTCCCCCCAGACACGCTGAAAGTCAGCAGAAGCACATGGCAGAGAAGATGCCGGCAAAATGAACCCCGGAGCCCCAGGAGCAGAGCTTGAGCGAGACTTCATTTTGCTTCTGTGTGTGTCCAAGCGCTGATGTCCACGGTGGCGCACAAGAAAACCAGTGTTAGTCATTGACCATGTCTGAAGCTTTATGTCTGGTGATTGGCCTCTGCTTCTTAATTTATTTTAATTTTTTTACTCGTGCCACTAAATATCAGGCATTTTAATAATATTATTACAAAAAATGTACAGTACTTATAACATTATAAATCATGGGTGAGAAGAGAGGGTAGTTTAACTTTATTTTTGTTTGTTTAGAGATTTTCAGTTGAACGATATTTTACCATTGACTACTTTTTTATTCTTCACTGTAGTTTTAAAATAAAGAAACTGTACTTGACGGTGCTATACAAGTCAAAAAAATACATGCCTGCCTCGTAGTGAAGTTGTAGCTTTCAGTAATACGTATATTTTAATCAGTTTTCAACATTTTGTGAATGTTGACTACCTGACATTCATTTTTAGATGTGCTATTAACATTTGGTTGGATTCAGAGAGTTACCTTGAAAGTTTTATGTATAAATATGTAAAATAAAAATTTAAAAAATTGTTTCATATGATACGTCTTTTTGTTGCCTAGTGGTTGACTTTGGTGATGCACCAGTAATGTATTCCTCGAACTAAATGTGCAATTCCTAATTTGTCATCACCAGAAAGAGCCTTTTTTTTTTTTTTGCTGATCACATGAAATTATGGAAGGAAGACAGGATTTTTGTAGAGTTATTTATTTGTAAGTTCATAATGTATGTATGACATGGACTTGAGATTCTTCTATAATAACATTCACTGAGCCCTAATATTGTGACTATTGTTAGAATCAGCAGGTGCATACCATAGATGGTTTTTTTTATATTTTATTGTCTGGGCTAAATATTTAAATGACTCACCAATGTCAGAAATAAAAAAAAATCTATGTTAAAAATCTAAGCAGCATATTAAATGTATTATATATGGTAATTACTCACCTCTCTGCCTTTGGGCTGGGCTCCCCGTTAGTATCTGTGTTCATCAGCTGAGTGCTGGTTGCGTGCTCCTTTGCGCGTACAGGAGGAGGGACGCTGGGAGACTAATAGGTCTGTCTCCATCCCTCATTTATTTGATTTAATGCTGAAACAGCTTGTCCATCCCCTTCCTAAGGCAGCCTGGCCGTAGCCAGCAGCAGACACATGTCGTGCGCACCAGCTTTTACATTTTAATTCTTTTTTCCTTGGGGGCAAATTCATCTTAGCAAAGGGTCTGGCTAATGACTTATTCAGGGTGTTTTCAGAAAAGCATGAACTGCATTAAAATTTCATCCCCCACCAAGAATGTATTTCATAAAATGACTTCTTTTTCCCCCCTATTTTTGCAGAAAGTGCAGGTTATGGAAGTGCCAGCCCTCAGCAGGGTTTGGTGGAGCTGGGGTGGGGAGGGGGGATTGTTTTTTAGGATTGTTTTTCCTTTCCTGGGAGTTGCTCCACGGGGTTTCCAGTGGACAGTCCCTGTCCCACAGCCCCCCGGGGGGGGGGCACGTCCTGTGTCCCTGCTGGGTATTGTCCCCGAGCAGGGAGCTGTGCCTGCCCCTGGCTTTTGCAGAAAGATGCTGGGACGGGTTAGGCTGGAGAGCCCTCACGGGCAGACCAGGGACAATATAAACTCCTCTTACTTTGCTTTTTTTGAATCTATGCAGGAAAAAGAAATATATTGGGAGTGTTAATTTCCCTGTAGCTCTGGTTGGCTTGATGCTGTTGCCTGCACGTGGGGAGACCTGCTGGGTTTTATATTTCTACTCTGTAAAATGCCGTGTTTGCAGTGCTCTGAGTCCAAAATAGTCCCCGTGGGGCGCAGAGCTGGTGCCTCTATCAGAAGCAGCTGTTCGGTATCAGTGAGGAGGTGCCTGCCACTGGATTTAAAGCATGAACAGCAAAAGCCCCAAATACAAAAAGTTTGCTCTCAGCTTTAAAAAAAAAAAAGCAAGAAAGCCCCCGGGTGCTCCCTTGGAACCCCATGCCCTCCGCAGCCGCCCCCGGCCTCATCCCTGGCATCGCCCCCTGCCAGGGTCCAGCTTGTGGGGCACCGGGATGAGGCAGCCTGGGCAGGCTGGAGTTTCATTCCCTTGCTAAGTGCCTTTAACTTGCTGAAGAGAACTAGTTATTCCGGTCACCTACCACTGGTTTTCCCCCTTACATCCTTAGGGGATTGGGTTTTTTTAAGAAAAAGTGTGTTTCTGGGTAACTGCATCTCCTTGGCTCTGTGTCCTGTGTACCGAGGTGTCATGCTGGTGTATATGATGGCAATGCTGTGGAATTAATGGATTAAATGACGTTTTTTTAGCAGAAAAAGGTGTTGTGTGGTTTCTGAGCTGCTGCTGCCGCCCTGTCAGAGGCAATATGTATTTTGTCACCTATTTCTTTCTGGGTATCGGTCCCACTTTCTGAGTCTTCTGTATCCTCCTGGGTGGGTTTTTGGTTCCTCCTCCCCTTGTCCCCACCAAACATAAACCGCCTCGCACGGGATGCCGAACTTTGCAGTGTTTTCCTTCTGCAGGTTGCCCACAGCTCACTGTGTGCAACGTGAAAAGTACATCCTGAGACTAGAAGTCACCAAAAATACCTGATGCAGTCAGCAAAAACACCTACCCACCCTGCATACGCATGGGGCTATGGGGCTGGGGGGTGCCACAAGCTCCCTGCATCGCCCAGCCTGCCACCCTCTGTGCACCAGCCACACTTGGCTGTAGCTAATTCTGTATATCCACAGGGAATAGCAGCTCCTCATAGCATGAGATTTTTGGGAGCCCCATCCTTGGGGAGAATTTGGGGGTTTTGTTCTGCCTCGCTTCTTTTTTTTTTTTTTTTTTTTAACATTTTTCTTCCATGAATGGGGCATTTACACGGTTCTACTTGGGACTCCCAGTATCAGTACTGTAACCCTGGAGCCGAATTCCCCAAAGGAGACTCAAAGGGCTCTCAGTCAAAAGGTTGCTTTCGGGGGTG